GGAGCTTGCCATCAGCCTTGACACTGGACCCGACCACGTGGGGCGGGCTGGCAGGGCAGCCAGGTGGCAGCCTGATCCCTGACCCCAGGGCCAGCTGTCAACCCTGACGCTCACCTGGACCCTCTGTGGGGTGGGCCAGGCCGGACTCTGCCATATAGGGCTGGCCAGGCAGCAGCCCTGAGCCCCACTGGATCCCACCATGCCGCCAGCCACCTGACCAGGGTGGTGATAGTGACTGTGAAATGCTCAGGGAGATCAGAGAGGCTGCAAAGGGAGAAAATGCAATAATAATGGGGGATTTCAACTATCCTCATATTGACAGGGTTTACATCACTTCAGGAAGGGATGAAGAGAGAAAATTTCTAGACACTATAATTGAGTGCTTTTTGGAGCACCCTGTCCTGGAACCCACAAGGGGAGAGGCAATTCTTAATTGAGTCCTAAATGGAGCACAAGATCTAGTCTAGGAGGTGGGCATAGCAGATCTGCTTGGTGACAGCAACCATAATGTAATTAAATGTAACATTCTTGAAAAGTGGCAAAGAAACCCACCACACTAGCATTTAACTTTCAAAACGAGGAAGTTAGTTAAATAGAAATTAAAAGGAAGAGTGACAAGGGTGAAATGTCTGCAAACTGTCTGGAGACTATTATAAATGTATACCCTAAATAAAAAAAAAAACAGTAAGGGGACCAAAAAAGGTGCCACCATAGCTAAACAGTGGAGTAAAAGGCATTTAGAGGCAAAAAGGCATCCTTTAAAAATTGGCAGTCAAATTCTCGTGAGGAAAATAGGAGCAGAAAGTCTGGCATGTGTGAAAGTATAATAAGGAAGGAATAAGGAAGGCCAAGAAAGAATTTGAAGAGAACATAAGAGCAGCTAGCTAAGGCAGCAAAAACTAACAGCAAACAAAAAATAAAATAAAAATAAGTACATCAGAAGCAGGAAGCCTGTCAAACAGTCAGTGGGGCCCCTGGATGATCAAGGGGCTAAAGGAGCACTCAAGAAGTCAAGGCCATTGTGGAGAAGCAAAAATGAATTCTTTGCATTGGTCTTCACTGCAGAGGAAATGGATGAGAACCCACTACAGCTGAGCCATTCTTTTTAGGTAACAAATCTGAGGAACTGTCCCAGAGCGAGGTGTCAATAGAGGAGGGTTCAGAACAAATTGATAAATGAATAAGTCACAAGGACCAGATGGGATTCACCCAAGAGTTCTGAAAGAACTAAAATATGAAATTGAAGAATTTCTAACTGTAGTATGTAACCTAGTGCTTAAATCAGCCTTTGTTCCAGATGACTGACAGATAGCTAATGTGATGCCTATTTTTAAAAAAGACTCCAGAGGCAATCCTGGCAATTACAGGCTGTAAGCCTAACTTCAGTACCAGGCAAACTGATTAAAGCTATAGTAAAGAACAGAATTGTCAGACACATAGATAAATACAATAAGTTGTGGAAGAGTC